GCATTCCCAATCACTTAACCACCTACTAGCTTAGAAGAGTGAATACTGTGTTAGACGCCCAGTAACATACTGTTGGTCTGGGGCTTCTTACTGGAGCTGTGCAATTCACCAATGTTTCATTCTTTTTGAGCAAAACCTTTCAGTGAATCCAACTCATTTGATTACAGAATCATCCAGGTCAGTGAAGCAAATCGAGCCTAGAGGATCAAAGCAGGAAATTATTTAGTTCCAATCTCAGATCTTAGAGAATGAAGGGAGGAACTGAATAATATACAGTAAACATTAAGACATTGTAAGTTGTCAAATTACTTAAAAAACATATAGCTCTCATATTAATGATGTATATTTGACAGTTGTATTGTACATGAATAATATGGTTTGCTGGTTGTTTCAGATGACTGTATCGAATTTCCAAAACTTCACAAATTACTTCACTAAAGTCGATAGTAAATATTGGATATACCTAAAAGAGGAATGCATCACTTTGTCTCAGTTTGTAATTTGGACAATAAACACTGGATGTGTACAAAACTAGGAATATACAGTACAGGTACGGTACACTGAACAACATCTTTTTTTTCCCCCAAACAAACCTGGTCTGCAAAGTTGCAGCAGCCTGCAAAGTAGGGAGATAATTATCAGCTAGCAGTTTAACTTTTCTGATCGAATTGTTGTTTCCATGAATAGGTGGGTGTGGATGTCATATGAAGATCCTTGTTTTTCAAGTAGAACTGCGTTTTACTGTACAGGTACTGTAGATTTCAGTTGCCAAGGTTTTGGAAATTCCTGAAATGATACATATGAGTTCAGTTCACATGTGAAAAATAACAGAGATGGTAACCTTCCATGCAAGTTCTCACATAAAAATACAAATGGAAAATGGACGCTTCAGAGAAGTGTAGGAGAAACCTACACCTACATTCCCAATTATTTAAAATAATTAAATTAAAGATTCTTCATTGTATTAAAATTGTATTCATATCTGGGGATATGTACAGTATGTCTTTCCAGTCTGGCTGTATGCAAAGATGCATAACAAGATGCATTAAAGCAATGCATTCCTCTTGTGAATGTAAAAAAAAAAAACAGAAGTCTAAGGATTGCATTGTTTGTTTTAATGTTTTTGTACAACTTTAATTGTAGGTGCAATAAACTCATCTTCTGTTATAATATCTTGTACTGAATTAAATCTCTGTAATTTTACTTATTTCCACTTATTTTCCCCTTTCAAGTTCAGTAAAACGCAGAATTATTTGATGCTAATCTACAGCAAACAGGTTTCCAGGATAGGCAACTTCCAAATAGTGATGATACAGTAACATTATACTATTGAAAGTTGTATTAAAAAAAGACTTAGGTTGGGCCCACCTGTTTACATTAAGCTTCTTAAGAATAGTGCTCTTTGAGGCAGGAGCCTGGCAGTATAATAACATTTTGAGTGGGCTTTTTGTCCAATGTTCCCCCATGTGATTTAGAAATGGTTAGAAAACATCTACAGTACACAAAGAATAGCATTCTGTTTTTGGAGAAAAGGAAAGGTAGAGAAGTTTCAAAGAATCTTATTTCTGTGAATCGTGAGAAATCTAGGGGCAGGATAGTAGTATTCAGGTTCCAGTAAAAAGAAACGAGCCATGTTGCAACACTGTGCTGTTGTTTTGTCGCCTTTACTATAGAATCTGAAGCCTTAAACATCTATGGCAGTTAGTATACAATAAGTCATTTTGACCTACTGTTTGTCTAAGTCATTTAATGATCTACACATGGCCAAAACTGGTACTTTTATGAACTTCACCAAGCAGTTAAAGATTAATTTTATGAATGGGTACAAATGGAGATGTCAGTGCTCTGTGAATAGTGTTTCACGAAAGAAAACTATAATTGGCAAAAGAACTGAAGCAGTTCTGATTAAAACTTTGATCAGGTAGTATTTTTTCTGTATCTATATTGTAATTATATGTCTTTATTAATCATTTTATCAAAGTCTGTTTTTGTTTTGTTTCACTGGGTCTTTCATTGTAAATTTGCTGGTTGAACAAAATACAGTAGTTCAGCATATTCCTGAACTACCCAACGTTAAATCTGAGAATGCTGAAGCAATTTAGTTCCCAGAAAACACAGCCAGTATGCTATAAATTAGCTTTTGTCTTAATGGTTTTTATCTTGTTTTTTTACATTGTTTCAACTATTGTAAGTGTCATTTTAGTAGTCATTTTAGTGCAAAGTCCGCTGATAGAATGAGTCAGGACAGATTATTAAGTGTAGACCAAAGGATTACTATTACTTTTGAGAAAAAAAATGTGCGGACTCTCTAGAAAAGTGTCTTCAACGGTAAGCAGCCAATGCATGCAGCCCCTCAGGGTGTTACACAATAACTTACTGTATATCTTCTCACAGACACAACAGATCTTCAGCCAAGCTATCCTTACAAAGTGCTCTCTGCTAACAAGACATTTAATAGAAGATTCTGTAGCGCTTTTCTTATTGCGTGGTTGCCAGATGTGTTTAAAATGAATTATTTACTGAAATAAAAAGACCTCCAGGTTATAACTGTAAATGGGACTATAAAAAAGTTATTTGATTTGTCTCTCATTTCAAATGCATTCATATCATGGTGCCTTGTAAGCTGTAATTGGAAAATAAGATAGGAGGGTACTTAATACCCAGATGTGGATCATCAAAGCAGTGCTCAAGAATACCAGCAAATAGCTTCATCTATTTTTGAGTCTCTGCACTACTTTACCATATAGTAAACTACCAATTTCTGTCTACTGTGTATGATGCAATGCTCCATCCCTCTTTATTTAGGGTTTCTAGCTGTAATTTTACTTGTGTACTATTTGTATGTATTGGTTCTGTGGTGAATTATTATTGCTTTGTGCAGTTTACCAAATCAAATGATTGCATTTTTAATAGATGTTTAAATAAATGCAATGTTTCTGGGTTTTTTTTAGTCTACAGATTCTGATTATGTAGAATGTTAAACTTTATGTTAAACTTTAGCATTGTAAGTATTCTATATTTGTGTAATTGTGAAGAATAAGAATCTTGTGACTGGTACCTTCATGCCAGAGACTCAGAAAAATGACCTTGTCTGAATATTGTATTTTTAGCATATAATATTAACCTAAACTTATCGAATAAAAGTTTCTGGTGTCAGAAATAACACCCTGAAGAAATATTAATTTCATTTTTGTTTTTTTCTTTTCATAAAGAATTACTTCATAACATCTTGAGGAATATGAAGTCTAGGATATACAGTAGGTTTTCATTTCTAGCATAACAAAGCCGTTCTTTTAGTTTACCAGTCATTGCTTCATGCTAGTTTGAGACCATCTCTGGGTCTAGCTGAAAAACCACGGCAGCTGTTCAGCCAAGGGAGACAGAGAACAAGACACTTTTAAACTATTTCAAGAGGGTAAATGAATGTAATTACGATACCTACTGTATACAATATCTTTAGTAATTAATTATCACTGCTTTTTAGAATGAAGACATAGGTTCTTCATAGGTTTACATTGCAAATTCATTTTTTCTCTTAAAATTGCTGAATAGATGGCAAGAAAAGTCGTTGCAATAATTGTGTATGGAAAGATGCTTTGCTGCACATGTTATCTGAGGTTTTGGAATATGTATCTGTGATAAAGTGTTCACTTTTCCTCAGATAATACAACTGCTTCATCACTGGAATATGCAGCAGAGCTATAGTATTTATTACTAATTATATGCATGTTATATGTTTGGAATTAAGAGACATCCTAGATAATTACTAACAACCACATGAGCTAGACAGCTGCTTCCTGTTTGTAACTTTTGTTATGTTCTCATCCCACTGCAGGCCAACAATGTGTTTGTGTGTTTAGGTAGTCAAGGTGACATAAGATCTTTTCCATTAATAAATGAGGATATGGGGTAATGCTTATTGCTTTATGCAAGTGCCTACTGTTGGACTTTATTAAGCTGGAATGCTCTACAAAGTTGTTTACATGAAGTGCTGTACACTAAAAACAAAAGGATTTTTGTAGGTAAAAGATTAGATTTGCCCTCGCACGTCACAGAACGATCGCGTGAAAAAAACAAGGTTATATATTGTATATCTGAGCTACTGTAGCTTAGATTTGGTTCCTCTAACATTAACAAGTTCATTTTAGTAGTTCTGGAGGATTATGTTTTCTTTTTTCGATGCATAGAGAAATTTACTTTGATGTTAAGTCCCTGCTATAATGTAGACCCAATTGACAACAAAGCGTCCTGAGGCCCTTGTCTGTGAAAACATTTTCTTACAAATCATATTAAATCTTGTAAATGTCCTCATTTTTAATGTGATATATGCTCAGGACTGACTCAGGATTTAGGTAAAACAGATGTGTCTTGTCATCTTTTATCAAGTGAAGAAGCATAAATTATCCCTATCTAAGACAAGAAAATGGTCTCTTTGGCTAGCATTGAATAAAGATTTTACTCTTTAAAAATATTGTCAGGATTGCCAGTCAACAAGATGTCAGCACATGTTGCCACATAATAATTTATTGTGAAGTGTTGCTTGGTGATATCCAATAATAAAAATAGAAAGTGAGATGTTTCATCTCCAATGCTTTGTGGGGTGCTAAGGAGTAAATTAAAAAATGGAAGGAATTAAATTAAAAAGCAATTGGTGTCATACATCTCTAGTTATGTGTGTGCCTGGAGAAAGTATTTAAAGTTAAAAATGCATGTTGATGCTCTCAAGCAGTGATAATCCAAGAATAAGCATTAAAGCTCATCTTTTTCCAGAAGCACAGGGAACAAAATGCTTCCATTAGCTGAAGGTGGGGAAGATAGCCCCCAAAAGACCCTTCTTATTGAGACAGGGATTCTGGAAAACAGAAATAAGGAACATTGTTTTCTGGGTACTGGGGTACTATTTTTATTTTGGAATTTTTCATACAGTATTTTACAGTATATATTCTTCCTTTCAGGTTGAATTATGCTAATCTGTCCTCGGTTACATTTTTTTTTCACAGAATGCTCTGGTCCTCTTGGAATGGAGGGCGGTATCATTTCCAACCAACAGATCACTGCGTCCTCAACTCACCGAGCCCTGTTCGGTCTGCAGAAGTGGTACCCCTACTTCGCCAGGCTCAACAAGAAAGGACTGGTGAACGCTTGGACAGCTGCAGAGAACGACAAATGGCCGTGGATTCAGGTAAGTTACTGGAACATAAGAACAAGGAGGGAAAAATAATGATGTTGAGTGTAAAAACATTCTGAATTCTGAATTCTGATAAGTCTAGAAAGACAAAGAGGAAATATACAACTTTATTACATACAGATAATGAAATAATTACATATATATTGGATTATTCATCTTTTTCTCAATCAAGTAATGATCATGAGTCATGATCAGTCTTTTCTGAGACTGCCCTCACCACCAGGTATTGGCATGGTGTTACCTGAGCACAATGACTTAGGCTTCTGTGTCCTTGTTAGAAAAGGAGACATAATTAGTCATACTCATGTCTTAATTATCATTATCAAGTTTAAGTCTTGACCTTCAGCATTCTCACATCCTGCAAGACAGATTATTATCTTAAAAGCACTTCTGTTCTTGTAAGTATTCTAACTACTGTATGTGGCATGCAGTACTTGAGCACAAAAATGTTCATCACAAATGTAAATTAAGATCTAGTGTTGCAAACGCAGAACTTTGTCTTTCACAGTTCAGTACATTTCACAAATAGAGGCATGTACGAGCAATTACTCAAACCATTCCACTGGAGGTACTGTATCGTCACTGGAGCTTTAGATGTTGCTGATTAGTAACTGAAACCTTTATATACTTTCTCACATCTCTTCATATCGAAAGGCAACACTCTAGTGCCATGTCGCAGTTCTAATGATAATTCCTTGATTGTAATGGTTTATTGTGCTTTTATTGCTTTCCCTTCAATCTTCAAAAGTCTCCATTGTTACAGTTTGGTGTTACATGTTCTGCTCACTGTAGCAGCATTCATGATGCGTTTATAGCTTCAATATTAATATATTGCTGAATAAGAAAACTTGCCTATTTTCTTGCAGAAGAGAACTTGGATTGTGGTCCCAAATTGACCTCTAAATTATTCAAATTTTAATTCACCCATTTAATATTTTGTACTATATTACTTAACAAACCACCTGCAGTAATAATAGCCAGAAATACTGTATTTGTTTTAACTTCACTGAACTAAAATGGTAAATAAAGTAGGGCTGTGACTTTCATCATACCATGAATTTCAAATTACTGGTGTGGTGCATCAGATCAGCACTCTCGACTTTGAGTTTTGCCCTATTGGACTATGAGATCCAGGCTTCAATGATGTTGGTTTTGTTATTATTGTAAATACTTGTACGTTTTTGTTATCAAATTCTTCCCCTGCAGTGGTGTGATTCCAGTGTTGATCTATTGCCTTAGGTGCTTGAGTTTTGATACATATATGAAAGTATGTTGCCGTCTGAAGCCACAGACATCCATTTTGTCACAGTTAACTTTTAACAGTTGCCAGGCATATTCTATTTCTAAAGACATGTGACTTCTTGCATATGTGAAACGAAAACAAACCAACTCCCTAAGCTTGACTCAAGTTTATTGTGTGAGGTTCCCAGAATCCTAAAAAAAAAGAATGTTTCATAAACTGGAATTATCTACAGTATCATTCAGAAAATGTGAACTTAAATTTTTCCTTGTGATATTTGGTCACTTATTAATATACTGTGAGTATGTAAACATTTCACATTTTATTTGATGAAAACTTTTAAATATGCTGAACTGTATTGCAGGTTTTCATAGCTGACAGCTACAGTATATTTTCACTAACAAGCATCTTGCACACACATTTGCAAGATAAAATCACTGAGTGACCTAGGGGAGACATGTTGTAGGTGAAAAATGTATAATGTAATTGCATGTTGCAGATACCATGTGTCTTATCATCATTCAGGAAATTTGTCTTTCATTGTTGTGCTAGAATACCTTATGCATGCAATAATAGATTATTTTTTAATGATTTCTGAATATAGTTTACATAAAACTAAAATAGGTCTACATAAAGTACATAATTTACTACAACATCCATGTAACCAGTCACAGCCTTCCATTTTTTAATAATTCTGTGAAGTGTGTTTTTATTATTCTGAGTTACTGTTACTGGGTACTGGAATCTAAATGAGTTAAAGGTGTTTGCTTCAGGCTATGTTTTACTGAGCAGGAAGGTACACGTTAATACGGTAATTACCCTTTCTCTACAGTACATACACTGATGGTCAAAGTTAAACTGAAACCTTTCATAAACCACACAAACATACAGTAGGTGAAAAATATGATGGTTTATTACCCATTCATGTCTGACATCCCTTTTACTTCCATGAAACTGCAGCCACTTGTAACTGATTGTACTGTACATTAAATTCCTCTAAATCAAAAGGCAACTATGAGTTTTGAAAGACATTGGGAAGTCCCAATTAAACATGTCAATTAGATGTGCCGTCAGCTACTGATGTGAGTTACCGTGTGATAAAATGTTATGTCCTCACGTGTCTTTCTTGTCTTAATTCAGGTTATGAAGACTGTAGTGACCTTTTTCGGAAGGCAACAGTTTCATGGGAGTCAGTGGGATGAAATTCTTGAAAAACCATAATTACATTTTCTCTGTGAAACTGACAGTACACTTTGTAGCAAGCTAATTGTTAATGATTTAATTTTTCATTCATGTTAGGATGCTGGTAAGAATTTCAGGTGTCCCGAGTTTTCCTTACCACCACATCAAGTTTCTGTAAAGTCTGCAACATGCACTCTAGTATTACTTTGCAAACCTTTCACAGGTTAAATGCTTAGCGCTACAGTTAATAATTGTAATATACTGTATGCTTGTGGGTTTTCCTAAAGAGATTTTTTTTTCAAAAGGTGTTTTAACACCATGCAGGAAACTCACATCACAGACATCTAATTGGCCTTTAGGCATTTTATTGGTTCCAGCTGTGAAGCTGCCCCTAACACATTAGAAGAAACCCTCTGGCATTTTAAGTTTGCAAATATCGATTTTAACCATTATTAACAAAACAAGGACATTTTGAATGTGTGGGCAGTTGCTATTTGGATACCTAGAGTATAAAAAGGTGAGATATTTTATTAATATAGCATATGGTTACATACAGCCATTCATTTATTTCAATACAAGTCTTCTTTTTGAAAATAGCACACATTATTGTTAAAGTTCGGTAACTTTATTGTGTATAGTAAAAAGCCCATGCATGTTTTTGGGATTAAAAACAAGATGTAGAAATTTGTGTTTTACAGAACTCAGAATGAAATCCTAGTCACATGTCAGATATTCAGAATCATAAACAACAAATTGAAGACGATAATATAAAAAATCTAAGGTTTTGCGGTCACATCGTTATTGACAGCATTGTTACGGGCATGTAACCACACCAGCCATTGGGCCTTGTCAATAGTGGGACAGGAGACCTCAAGAAGAAAACAGGATACTATTGGAAGTAGTGATTGTAGAACACTAGGGGGTACAGTTACCTCAGGACCAGACTTTCCAAACCAGCATTCCTGTTTGGTGACAGTGGGATATTGAAATGTAGGAGGCACCGAATTTCGCATAAAACATTAAACTGAAATCCTGACTACTTGGTCATTAAATAAACATCCTACAACATGAGGTCATGCCCTGGCTAAATTCCACTCTGGGCATGACCGATCTGGTCTCCCTAAAGTACCCCTTTAATTCAAGTGGAGAAACCTTTCACACTCAGCCACCTCATCTCCTTGTGGCATAATGGATCCTGCATTACATTCATGTGAGTGTTTGTGATAAGTCCTCCTAAACTGGTATCATGGGTTTGGAGGGCCTGTGCACATAAGCCACCTTTTCACTACGGGAAAATGCAGAACAGGGATTGAGAAAAGAGCAGCTTAATCTGCAGCTGATCCTGTTTGGCCAGGGATATTTCTCCAGTAAAAGATACTGACTCAGCAGCAGTTTATCTCTTATTGTCTCATGAGACTTCACCAATCTACTGAACATTCACTGTGAGGTTTAGACTCTGAACCTAGCTGAGACATTTTCCAGTCTTTCAAGGTGCAGACCATCTCTCCTCTATGCTGAGACATTTTATAGAGGACTCCTCTCTCCATCAGCTGCATTTGATTCCTCTATCCTCCTCATGCTTAGGTGTGTCCTTTTATTTCTCTCCTTGAAATGTCCCTCTAGTGGCTTAAACCTGTATCAACACTCCCAAATCCAGCTACTCTGTTAACACTGTACTTCAGTTCTGCAGTATGTGGACCCCCTCCTGTGCAAAAAACACTTAGGGCTCCTTTGCATTATATTAATGCAAGCAATTATTGCTTCTTATAATGTTGAAGAACATCATAAGCACATGCAGCAGAATATCTGGCATCAAAGAATGGGTGCCGAACAACAAAGAGATAAATGGAACAAGCTGATTCTTTGTCTAATTATGTAAATGTATATGAGCTTTGTGATTCCCAATGCAGACATAAACAGACACTCGCTCACAAGCGGAATTGCATAGCTAACATTTTTCTTTACATTGTTATTATTATTAACATTATGTGCCTCTTCTGCTGTGCAATTTACAATGTAATTTGCTGACAGAAAAAGACCAGAGCCTCAAAAATGTCTTCATTTATTTATGTGCATACAGCTTAACAGAGCTAGTAGACTCAATTTGACTCCTGCTCATCTCAGCAAAAGTAAGTTCAGTTGAAAGAATAAACCATTGTAGGGCTTTTAATCATGTTTAGTACAAATGAGGAGAGGCTCTTTGACTTTCGGACTTGAAGGGTCGAAATATTAAACTGCAATGTTTTCTATATACATCTGGTATATCCATCAAGATGGGGCTGATTTTTCAGATCTGACAAACAATTTCTGACAAGCATAGTGTTTACATTTAGATGGTAAGTAGACAGTAGGGTACTGTATAAATATAAGTGAATATATAAAATAATATGTAACCCCTGCGTCCTGGCCAAATTTCCCATTGGCCCTTACCAATCATGGCCCCCCAACAATCCCCCTCTATAAATTGGCTTAATTACTCTGCTCTCCTCCCCACTGATACCTGATGTGTGGTGAGTGTTCTGGCGCACTATGGCTGCAGTCACATCATCCAGGTGCGGCTGCACACTGGTGG